AGCGAAGAGCGGAGAACAGAGACGAAGCAGTTAGCAGTGGAGAGAGCACAGTGATAGCGAAGAGCGGAGAACAGAGACGAAGCAGTTAGCAGTGGAAAGAGCACGGTGATAGCGAAGAGCGGAGACGAAGCAGCCAGCAGTGGGGGAAGTACAGAGACATCGGAGCTGACGGAGAAGTAGAGATTGGAGAGACAAAGGCGGCGAGCGAGTCGAGTGAAGCACGGCGAGAGAGCTGTGGCAACAAGGGAACTGTGGAGCATTGAGGACATGTGGAGAACTGTAAATAGAGTGGTGTTGGAAGAAAGACAAAAGTTGTCCGAGTGAAATCAACCACTACAAAACAGTGATAAGGGGGTGACCGACTGCCTGTACACGAGTTACTGGAGTGATCTGGTGAGCGCTCAATCATCGATCAACCTCAAAGGCAGCGAGGTAGGAAATGGAAACTCCATCCCAGACAACATCGGTATTCCAACGTCGGCCCAATGTGTGCTCTGTACAAGCGGTAATAATTGTGCGGCGTTAAAGAAGGCTTGAATAAATAAATAACCAATGCAACCTCTCCACGTGGTTGAGGTCTTGAGGCAGCTTATAGCCTGGCCTGTTGTCACCCCAGTGCGCCTTGAGATCTCTGCACGATATCACACGTGAGCAATAGCTCGAAGCACCAACACCACCCGCCATGGATGAATTTCACCCCCGATGGCCAGACACCTAGGGCGGCATTATAAGTCACTGGCCTTTAGGTTTCACAATTGCCCTAGCGCTGCTCACTTGTGTAATCTCTAACCCACACCTGCAGTTCCTGTGTGGTCATTAATTGCATGGGCAACACTGACAAAGAGTCCATAATACTGTGCACATGGTGATCCATGCACAGTATATATATAAAACAACATAAATAACCAGTCTGCTTCACATATCCGTCTCCCAAAAAATATATTTCTTACACAATTCATCAGCCGCACGGACTTTGGGAGCGAATCCATCAGCCGCACGGACTTCTGTGAGTGAATACTTTCAGCAGCATTGTTTCAAGGCAAGCAAAGTGGACTGTTTTCAGCACACAGTGCCACATCAGCAGAGTTAGGTTTGCTTGAATCAATGATGGTGAAATGCCGCGTTTACAAGCAGGCAAGAGCCCTCCCCGTTTACACAATGGGGTCATTTCATGGGACCTCCTTTGCCAGTACCAAAATATGAGAAGAGGTTTTCCCGTTTTTTCTGGCAACAAAACAGGTGTTAAGATGTTAAAACACCAAACTGAAACTTTTTTTACAAGGAATCATGTCTGCATTAACCACAATACTTGTGGTCAGAATGCAAACAAAAAACATACTCCGATAATATATGCATTGTCTTTGAAACTGACTGGTCCACACCAAAGACAGCTTTGTTTTGAGCCTAGTCTCAAACGGTGTTAGACCAGAGGACGCCAAAAGGCGTACAGCACAAAGACAATGCCACTATTAGAGTAATGAGACTAGGCCTAAAATATAGCTGTCTCTGGTGTGGACCAATCAGTTTCAAGGACAATGCATATATTATCAGAGTATGTTTTTTGTTTGCATTCTGACCACAAGTATTGTGGTTAATGCAGACGTGATTCCTTGTAAAAGGTTTCAGTTTGGTGTTTTAACATCTTAACACCTGTTTTGTTGCCAGAAAAAAGGAGAAAACCTATTCTCAATGGGGTAATAGTTCAATGCAAAATTGCATAATACATAACTCATGAGTATGAATACGGTACACCACTAAAATAATATGGAAAATGTATAGACAAAATTCAGGTTATGTAAATAAAATCTGCACATTGTTGAAGTTAGGCTGTTATTTAGCCCAATATAATACCACTTCAGACGTTGCTACACATTTTTTGGTAGTCATGAGTAAATTGAGGCAGTTTGTAAACAGCATCGTACAAATACATGTTGTAGGCTATTCTAAAGGCAACAACAATATTAGCCGAACTAAAACACAACTGGCTACGAATGAAACCAATTGGAAACACTACTGGATATTGTCTTTTGACCAATACAGGGTTTAAAAAAAAAAACTTCGCTGTAATTCTATATCTCGAGCAATCAAAACATGAAAAGCGTTTTTTTATGTTATCAACGTTTTGTTAAAATCAGTTGAGTGTTTTGTTTTCCAGGTCGCGCAGAGACAAAGGTAGCCTAAACAAACTGTAGGGGCAAGTGCTGTTAGCGAGTAGCACCTATGAAGGCTGGCATGGTACACGAGGGGGTGGGTGGCCAGCACCACGCCCGACCGCCTTTGTCTCCCGAGTGACGATGTTTACACACCGCTCCAGGTACTCATTTGAGGCTGAGTCGACCTAGAGAAGGCACAGGACCGGTTCAGATAATCGTCACTGGTGTTGGCCGTGAGCTGGAATCGAACTCGGGTGGGTCAGGTGCGTAGCGCAGCGCACGAACCGCTGTGACACCACTCCCTGCACACAAAGACAAAGATGCCCCGTGTAGCCTAACAGACCGTAGGGGCAAGTGCCGTTAGCGAGCACTTATGAAGGCCGGAACGGTACACACACAAAACCACACAGGAATTTAAACACTATCCACGGCGGCATAACATTTTAAAGCATCAGCCATCACCAGACCCAGACACGTGGGCAATTTGGTGGAGTTTTACATGGGCCCCCACCACCATCACCATCATCATCTGCCATGGTCAAATCCCACTGGGGTAAATGTAATATCTTTCCTTTTTTAATTCCCAAAACCGCAGCCCACCGCTCATCACTATCGCGGGCCCATGCGTAATAATCGGCTTTGTTACAAAGGATTTCATCGCTCCGTCTTTGCTCGGGATGTTCTCCCTCGGGCGCGTTCCAATCGGTTCCCACTGAAATAAAGACAATGCGGCCTCTTCTTCTGCTGCTGCTGCTTCTTCCACCTTGCTCTTCACTTTGGCTAAACATTGAGGAACACGCGGTGTACAGTGCGTGCTTTTTTTTTGGTTGTTGTCCCGCTTGTGATTTGCTGCCATCTGTTGCCATCAATTGCTACTACTTCACGTGTGCAGTTGCTATACCCTTGTATTATTTACATCATAAGTCGGGGTTCCGTCTTTGCTTAATCTGCTGATTGATGTGCGAGTGGCGCGTGTTGCGTGACGAGACCACGTTTGTATAACGTTCATGATCTCCTTGGTTCTTTCGGTGAAGTCACGTAGAAGGGAAATAATAAAATAATAAAAATAGAACATAATAGAATTCTCACGACGTTTCGGCCACAACACAAGCAGCCGTCCTCAGGTGAAGAAACAGAGCTGTCTTTCCGACAGAGTTGTCTTTCCGACAGCTCTGTTTCTTCACCTGAGGACGGCTGCTTGTGTGAAACGTCGTGAGAATTTTATTTTATGTTTTATTTTCATTATTTTATTATTTTCCTTCTACGTGACTTTACCGAAAGAACCAAGAAGATGAATCCCTGCAGTCACGAAAGCTTTAAATAGAAATGTAACGTTCATGATGACAACCGGCACACGTTTGGTAGCGGGGGGTGAGTCTTAATACGGTATAACATTACCCATACTCTGTGGTTCTTTCGGTAAAGTCACGTAGGTAAAAAATAAAATGAAGTTAATCAAATCACGACGTTTCGGAAGCAACACAAGCCTCCGTCATCAGGTGGGATAGTCACAGCACCTGATGATGGAGGCTTGTGTTGCTTCCGAAACGTCGTGATTTGATTAACTTTATTTTATTTTTTTACCTACGTGACTTTACCGAAAGAACCAAAGAGTATATGGATCATTGCAGTCACGAAAACTTCAAATCTACGGTATAACATTATCAGACCTTTCGCTCTCGCGAGGTTTATTTTTTAGTGTTTTTTTTCAGTAATTCGTTGACACGGTTGACCCCGCTGAGCCAGTTTTGCCCGGCAATTTTTTTTAATATATATTTTTTTACGAGGCAGATCCATGGCTCGTAAACACGACAACAACAACACCAACAAAGACAAAGATCCCACTCTGTGTAGGCCTTAACAGACTGTCGGGGCAAGTGCTGTTGGCGAGTTGCACTACCTATGAAGGCCGGCACGGCACACGAGAGGGGGTGGGTGGCCAGCACCACGCCCGGCCGCCTTTGTCTCCCCCAGGGGCGAAGTTTACGCACCGCACCAGTTACTCATTTGAGGCTGAGTCGACCTAGGGGAGGCCCAGGACCGGTTCGTAGCGCAGCGCGCTAATCGCTGTGCCACCACTCCCCCACACAACAACAACAACAATAACAAAGACAAAAGATCCCTCGGGGCAACAACACAGAGACAGTTTAACTGTCGCCTGATGAAGCTGGTTGTAATTACTGACAAAACGTCGTACTCAGATTGTAATTGTCGTGGGTTAGCTCTCCAACACACAACCGGTGTGCTGCACTAGTGACGAATTGGCCACGTTCTGTTTACGTGACAAACCTTACTAGTTGGCTGTGTCGGGTGGTGGCGGGTTTTCACGACACATTTATATATTTTACGCGATCTAACCCAAACCCCCCCCCCCCCCTCTATTATGGAACACAGAGACACACACACACATCAATTATTGCAGAGAATGAGGTACTGGGAGGGTGGGGAGGCGGTGATCCTTGAGGAATATTGCGCAACGGACAAACAACTTTCCTACATTGCGATTTAAGTAGACGTCGTGTTAATCATTTATCTGTTGGGAGGCGAGAGAGTTGGGTGCCGGTTCATTCAAGAAAAGGCCACGCAAGCCAAAACCTCCTTCTTTACAGATCTTACCCAACGGTGGCTTGCGATTTTTTTTCTTCTTCTTCCACGAGGGGGTGGGGGGGGGGGTTAAATGCAAAAAAAGATTGCTTTGAAAAGAAGGCGAGCCAATGATGCACAAGTGAATTGTGCACAAGGCCGGCCGAGCTTTGGCGTTGTAGTTACAGAGCCCTCCCGAGCCTGGCAACGCGAGGAGAGAGAGAGAGGGCTTTTGGTGGTGGTGGTGGTGTGGGTGGGAGGTTGGAGATGCATTGCAGTCGGCAACACAACGCACGCTTCGCGTTCTTCTCATCATCATCATCATCCTCCTCCTCCTCAACACGGTGTATTTTAATTGGTATTACATTTTCGGGTTGTTACTTTTTTTCCCCCCTTCAGATAACGCCGATACGATTTGTGAGGGTAAATGGGGGTTAGCTGTGTCCATAAAAGCGTTGTAAAAGAAGTGTTATTTTAGTGCAGTGTCAAAAATGCTATAGTTTTTTTCGTTGATGAGTGTTTCGTGAGAGGGGGAGGGGGGGTGGTAAAGAATTATGTTGGAATATGAAATCAGGGTCATCAACAAGTAATCCCGTTACACCACACTTTATGTTCAACTGGAGGAAAGGTACAGTGTAACAATTGTACGTAAGATTGACACCTTTATTTATTTAAAACAAGCTTGTTATAATGTAAAAAAAAAGTGTAATTTCTCATTAACTCAGTTAATGTGATGAACTCCATTCATTGCGTCGGTGTAACCGGTTGTGTTCGTCACAATTGTTATCAAACAAACTGCATCCACCCTCTTTATCCGGATTATAAGACGCACCCTCTCCCCCTCGTGTAGGTTATGTATTGTGGTGTGTGAGCAGCCGAATTTGTGTAACTTTATTACCGCAACTTTAGGGCGCGTCTTTACTTTGCGGAGAGTCTCGTGCTCACGATAATGTCAATTGCTCGGTGACACGACGCATGGGCGCGATGTTGTCTCTCTTAACGATTCCAGAATATTGACATTTAACACAAAACCTAATCGTGTGACACGCTGTCATTTTAATTCACGGGCATGTGATTCATTAATTTGATAGCAAAACAAATGGCACGCGAGGCCATTAATTAGGGTTGGCACTCTCTCTTGTATCCAGTCAAGCGTGAGACAAGGAGGAGTTGGTTTGGTCTGGAGGGAGCCGGCATTGAGGCGTCATGCTGGCCAGTGACAGAGGAATGCCCCTGTCCCTGCTAAGCCGAGGCATTGGCCTGCTCGTTCGGAATGGCCAGGAGAAGGTGGAGGTGTACTTCGAGCCTCAGGTAACTCTCTCACACACGTACGCACGCACGCACGTTCATCCACAGCACAAAGCCATCTGCATTCATGTAAGGTGTGGTGTATGCCATTGTGATCAGCAGCAGCATTTGCAACAGCAGCATCAACAGCAGCAGCATCATCATGCAATTAGCAGAAACTGCTGGGGGTAACATCATCAGTAGCAGCAGCAGCAGGATTTTCATCACAAGCATTATCAGCAGCATAACTTACCTATCAGACGACAATAAAGCAGATGAGGCATCGTCTGCTCTTCACCGCAGGGGCAGTTTGTGTTCTGATCCTGGCCGAGATGGCCTCCACTTCCTGAGGTTTGCTTTGTACTATCCAACACCTGTACAAATTGCAGCCCAGGCATTACCAGATTGCCCATGGTTACATTTTTTTTGGCAAAAGTTATTTGTGTAATTTTTGCTTCCCTTACAATCCCCGAGGACTATTTGAACTGGCGGGTGACGGGAGGCCGGCACCCTGTATGCCGCTGCCCTTACTGGCCCACCGGTGGCCTGGCCAAGACCTACACCACCCGGAAGGGGCCTCTCCTCCTCTACTCCGAGGAGCTCGCCTACCCGGCGCATCTCTACCAGGAGGAGGTTCGCCGTCACCAGCGGCGTGGCCACCAGCCCAGTCTCCCGCAGCCGGAGAGCTTCCTCCAGCAGGTCCAACCCCACCAGCAGGAGCATCTGAATCAGCAGGCCCTGCTGTTCCAGCAAACGCAGCTCAACCACAAGGCTCACCTTCAGCAAAGAGCGCGGGCGGCACGGAGGAGGCCGGAACACCCGGACAGGAATGCGGACGCCGTCACCGCACAACTGAAAACCCTCAGCGACCTGACCGATGCGATCTTGATATATGGATGCAGACAGGTGAGATAATGCCACGCTCGTTGTTCGGTCATCATCGTCACTTTTATTATAATTGTGCTGTTGGCATAATGTAATGCCACGAGACAAAGTGTTCATTCGGAACTCTGGCAAAGGACTGCATTACCCCCCCCCCCACCCCCGTGAGTATTGGTCAGCGGAAGCAGATGTCACAGAAATACCGCCAGCACTATTTAAGTGACCTTTATTTATTGTCCACACTCTGAAGGGGGTGCACTTCCCCCCCCCACCCCCCCGCTGCTGCAGAGGCGGATTAATTGCATGCCAGTCACACCGAGATATAAAAACTATTTAAAGCTGCACATTAGCTCATTTAAATGCAAAACCTAAATTAATATGATGATTTTTTTTTAGTTGGTCCAGTCACTGAGTTGAGACCATCCACTCTCTACGCTTGGTAATGTGGCTTAATCACAGTTTGTTGGGACCCACATTTCAACCCTCGTCGTTCTGCTGTGCTGGCTCAACACCCTGACCCCCGAGCTACCTATATATATGTTTTATGTTCAATGTCATTGATTCAATAAATATAACGGATAACAATACGGGTAGTCTGGGATACCATTACATTGAATTAAAAAACAATTTGGTAGCTTTGCCGAATTTTTTTCCAATCAAACTCAATTTCTACCTGCTGCTCCCATGTAAGTGAAGCACTCGTCAGCACCAGCTTTTGGGGCTTTATCTGCCACGAAAACTCTCGTGACACTCCTGAGGTAGTTCCATACCGAGTGTGGCAAACAGTACTGTGGCACTATCCTCAGTCGACCAGGCCAAACATTCTGGGCTTGAAACCATTGGCTACTTTGTTGAGTAAACATTGATTGAGAGGTTGCACAGTAGCCAGGCCAAACAGTGTGAAACATTGTTGGTTTAGTTGTCCTCTTTCCAGTGTGGCCTTTGGACAAGTGCTGTAGCATGAACATAGCAAATAGAAACTTGATGACGTAGTGGCACAGTGGTGCGCACACTGCTCTGAACCCGGCGACCTGAGTTCAATTTCTGGCCACAGCTAAAATCACAGGCTAGCGATATCCGAACCATTACTTGAAACCTCGTCACCCCCCCCCCCCCCGCTTCACCAACCTGCAAACAGCTCCCATGACCAACATGGCACGTGATGCATTTCACCAGCAGTGGATTGAGAATAGGCTGTTAAGTTATTTAACTTTTACGCTGTGCGGGATGGGTTCACGTTATACCTGAAGCCACTTGTTAGCCATGGCCAGGAATCAAACTCAGGTTGCCGGGTTCAAAGCGCAGCTCATTAATGTACCATTTTATCGACCTCATACAGCACGTACAAAAATAAATTAATAGATTCTTACACAATTTAAAACATTTGTTATTACATTAATCAATTGTTTCTCGCCCCTATTGGTTACGCAGAATCATGTAGTGTGCCAAAACATCAATAATACGAAAGGTTTATACCACAGAATTGCAGCACTTAAGACAACATGTTTAAAAGACCTCCAGCAGTCAAATCATTGAACCAACATTCTTGTTGACCGAAGACAAGAAATGTGATAACCAATGCTTACTCGGCCGCTTCATCACTATTTGAACAGCCCCTTGCACATTTCTCTGGCTATAATTCATTGATCTGTTATGCAATTATCCAACATTATGCTGCTTTTTTTCAAAACGGATCACGACCAAAATGGGAAGCAATGTAGTCATGGTTTACAGTATAGCAATAATTGTTCATTAAAATATCGCAATAACGCCACAGAGCTAGCTAAAGAAAATGAAATATGGGTTGTGCTTGCAAAAAAAGACATGGGAAAACACTCTGGGGTCCCTTTGAAAGAAGTGCCACTTTGCAAGGCTAATTTAGACATAATTACCAGTACATACACATGGGGCTTTAAGTGCATCTTATTATAGCTCTGTACCAAACATGCTCCCCCAGGCGGTATTATCTTGAGAGCTCGGTGTCATACCACACATGAATTATGAGCCTGATGATGACGCATGTGTAGACCTTGGCTCCTCGCGCACTTCCTGCAGACTCAACTCGCCCTTCTGATGGGTGGCTCAGGGAAGTATTTTATTCTCCACAAAGAAATATACACCCGAGTGTGCAGGATATTGGCACTTCAGAGTTGTCCCCACGGTCTACTGCGGCTATACGGAAAACGTCTCTCACCAGGGCACCTGAGAGCAACGGGACTCTCTCTTATCCATTTTTCACTGGCACATCACAGCCATGCCAGCGTGGGGCTCTCACGGTATGTGTGGGTAGGTTTCCACTGGCTAATTGCCAAGCTGAGCTCGAACAAAACCGTGAAACGTGAGCCTCATAAGGCATCTGAATCTGACTCGGGGGCCAAACAGGGTCAGTGACCGAGTTAATCACGATCATCATGCATGCGCCTTAACTCGTGGATTGCGTGTAATGTTAATTGGTACAGTGAGAACTCGCTGTTACCGCGTCATAGACTCGTTCGTTTCGTGTGACGTCAGCAGCATGGCTCGGGTTCTGCAGTGGAAAAAAAAACATTTCTGAGCCGCCCCGGGCTAACTCGGCACAGCCCCGGCACGACTTGATTACGCGATGGAAAAAAAGAGGCGTCTGTGTGTGCAGATTGTGGGAGGCCAGCATTGCCCGAGCATCCAGTCCCTTCCGTCGGCGAAGGCGAGCAGGATCCGGCCGGGCTACTCCGCACGCCGCTACCTCTGCAACTGGTTTCACTCCTGGGATGAGGCGTTGCTGCTCAAGCTCCACAATTCGGGTGCGAACCCTCGGACCTTTCTGCGGTGGAGTGTGTGGTGAGAAGACAGCGTGGGGTACGATGGTGCAGCGGTTAGTGCCACGAACACGGCGGCCTCACAGTTCGAGTCCCGCCTTACGGCCAACACCAAGTGACAAATATCCTAACCGGTCCCGGGCCTCCCCGAGGTCGACTCGGCCTCAAATGAGTACCTGGTGCGGTGTGTAAACATCGCCACTGGGGAGACAAAGTCGGTCGGGCGTGGTGCTGGCTATCCCACCCCCTCGTGTGCCGCACCGACCTTCATAGGTGCTTGGTAACAGCACTTGCCCCAACAGTCTGTGAGGAATATACGGAGGAACTTTGTCTTTGGTTAAGACACAGAACACCAGTGGATATTGAAATGACCATTATGCCTTACATATAACCTGCTTTATACAATGCGCACAGCCTTGTTTTAGACCACCAACTCAAAAGAGTCAAAATTTTGGCTGTTTCGTTTAGAGAGCCAAAGGACAATAGTCAACTGTATACCTGTATTTAATGAGTACCACGTGACCTTCCAGCCACTAGAGGCCTCAAGTGTTGCAAACATAACTCTGAAATCGAACCACAACCCTGAATGGTGACAGTTGATTGAATCCTTGCAGCTTTGATCACCGCTACAGCCATAATATGTGTTTTTCCCTTCCCACTCTGTGCTTATTTTGGCTATGAACAGGTCGGATTTCATACTCCACGCTGTACCGGGAGGGCAGGTGGAGCCCACGCGCCTTCAGAAGAGCTCACTATGACCTTACTGCAGCGCCGCAGCCGTATCAGCTCACAAGCAGCATGCTGCAGGCGCCCGGACCTACCCTGCTATGCAGGACCGTTGCCAGCTATGCGAGCGGTATGCCGACGGTGACCAAAACAAAACACGCAAAAAAATCACCTGGTTACCAGAGAGCGCCGTGATGTAGTAGTACTACTACTACTGTACTACGTAGATTTTTTTTTCCACGGTTGTGCTGCATGTAGCTCTCCAATGTGCTGCTGGGCTTACCGCGAGTTGCTTGGCAGAATGTCCGACGTTGCATCAACAGTTCCCGCCGAAGGTCTCGGACCCGACGACACGTGGAAACGGCCCGGAAACGCATCGGAGAGTTATCGTGAAGTCGCTATTGAGCGTGCGGGTGGCGCAATTGCACGAGTGCCCGCGGGCCAGAGGGATTTAGACGCCGGGCTAAGAAGAAGTTGTAAGTCATCATTTGTGGTCATTTCCCCCCGGCCACCCCCCTCATTTCAAACGCCTCGCAGCCATGTAAGTCGTGTTGAATGAGAAAACCGGAAGGGAAAAATAAACAATGACAACGAGATGTGTGTGAGAACTCGGTGTTTAGAGTGAGTAACCACATGCACTATGATGAACACGGCCTTACATCGGATAAATATACGGCGGGCCGACGTTTTGGGCAATGGCCCTTCTTCAAAGCAGGGAGGGCAGAGAGATACTCACCGCCACGTGGTTGAAAATCACACTTTCAGCTCTCGTTCCCTGAGGCGATCGGGCTGGGACCATTAACTCGCTGTGCTTGAGAAACCCATTATACTCACAGGTGGCGGTTGCCTGGATTTGAACCCAGGATCTCAGTGGTGCCAGCTCTTCACTCTGATCTAATTTCTCCTACTTCTTTAATGGAAACCCAGCGACTGATGGCCCCTTAACCTTGAAGTGTGTTCCTTAATCACGACGGCACGCGGTGCCTTTGCAGGCGATGAAACGGAGGAGAAGCAGCAGGGTTCCGGCAAGCAGATGACACTGCCGGACGGCGGCGGTGCCTCAAGTTACCCTGACAGCGGCCAGTGCGGCGTTATCGGCAAATGCTTTGATCAGCCTGCGAACGGACATCAGCTTGAGCCTTCATCTCAGGATTGCATCGTGAAGGTGCAGTCACAGAGGCTGTGGCACATTTGCACTTTGAATCTGAAATATGATGGATTTTTCAAGTGGCACCATCAGATGTAAAGCACTTTAATTTGGTTCGATGGAGAAAGCTTTTTTTATTATTTCCTGAGTGTTTTTTTTGTTTTATCATCAACAAATCACTTTTGAAAACCTAAGTTATAGAAAATAGTAAATACACCTCTTGAATTGAGCAAGGTTACATGACGTGGGGAAAAGAGAGAATCGATTGCAATTCCAAAGAGGAGCAGTGCGAGATGGGAAGAAACAGGAATAGATGTGTCATCACCTGCTGTTCTGTGGTTGGTTACAGTATGGATGAGACGGAAGAGTCTGATAGGCCGAGTCCTCAACATGGATGGAGAAATCAGTGGTGGAGCAATCGGTTAAAAATAATATTTTAAATTGGATGTAAACATGTAAACTCTTACAGTTCACACTTTTATTTTTAAGGTTTTTTAAATTATTTTTTTACATTGCTTACTGGTTCATAATACAGGTTTTTTTTGGGTTAGATCGTGTAAATATATAAATGTGTTGTTAAACCCGCCACCACCCGACACAGCCAATTAGTAAGGTTTGTCACGTAATCAGAACGTGGCCAATTCGTTACGAGTACAGCACACCGGTGTGTTGGAGAGCCAAGCCACAACATTTACAATCTGAGTACGACGTTTCGCCAGTAATTACAACTAGCTTCATCAGGCGACAGTTAGATTTGTGGAGAAGTCCACCTGTTTCGTTCCTTAAATAGAGGCGTAGATGTGATAACAACACTTGTGCGCTCTTCTTGAACGAAGTTGGGGGGGATTCATGAATCAACGTTCATTATGCACGCGCATTATGCAAGCCCATTAATCTTGAACTTCCTGTCCAATGTCTGTACTATAGCCTACATGTTAAATCGTTGATATTCAAGTCGTGCTTGATTACTTTTTGCCTTTATTTGTGAATGCGAACGGCAATGTATTATTTAACCTAATTGGGTGAATCCACGTAGAAACATTGCTACCCACTGTGAAAGTACCGCAGACCACAAACGTCTGTGAAAACACACCTTCTTGATAGACGTGTGCTAGAAGAATGGCACGAATGCCAAATGAACTAACGATTTTGATTTGTGACCCGGGTTTCCCTTGAAAGAGAGACTTTTAGCCTCAGTGGCCTTTCACCTGTTCTTTTTTCCTAAAGGGCATCTGTATATCTGTCTACAGGAAACCATAAACAAGATTGATGCCCTAAAATCCAGCAGGCTACCTCCTATTGGTGCTCATATATCAGTAAGTGGAGAAGTTTAAGTTAACATTTTTTCATTGTGCTTTGGTACATACTGCTTTATTATAAAACTGTGTTTAGCAAACTACGCTATGAACACGGTTGACGTACTTTGAGATTCCAGGCAACGCTCTTGCGTCGATGATGAGCGATATCTGAACTATTCATAATACCCACCTTCATGAACCCGCACCGACAAGCATTCTGATGTTGGAGGTATGGTCAATCAACCCCCATGACTGACACTGCAACGTGGAGGCTTTCATGCATCTATGGAATAACAAAAGGCTATACATTTATATGATGTTATTGTAGAATATACACATTATATATTGGGTTTAAAAAATATATTATTTTTTTGAAGACGAGCTAAGCTACGTTTATTCTTCTCAATGTCCTCAAGTTCTTACACAATGCGGGGTAGGTGAAATGTTGACTTTGTTATGGCCGCACAACCGTGTTTTAAAAAGATGGCCTTTGTTTTCTTATTTCCCTTGCCTTTGACTGCAGCCCGCAGTGCGGGAGAGACCCCCACCACTACACCGGACTCTCATTGACACCTCTCATCTCCGCAGCCCGGAGGAAAACAGATCCTTCGCATCATTTTATGGTGGCTCGCTCGCTGGAAACCGCAGGAATGTCGGCAGTAAGTTTTCATCTTTAACGACTTACATGCCGACTTATTGCACTCTACGGCAAGATGCATCATCCTGACATGGTAATGATCACTGCGTAGGTTTTTCGAGGTTGTGCCGAATAGCATTCCCATAGGTTTTCTGGTCGTACAACCCGGTGAGTATGTGGGTTGTACCACGTGTTGTTTGGCACTAGTCTTACATGCTGGAGGCTTCTTTAAAAACTGAATATTCCATTCCTGAATGTGGTACAACCTGAAAACACCTAATGGGGTGATAGTAATCATCATTTTCATCATCAGCACCAGGAATGGTAACATCATCATTGGCATCATAAATCACCTATGATCACATTTTGAAATACAATGCACCTCGACTTGTCTGTGGTAAGATTTCCTGTATCTTAATTAACCACAGGCTCTGTCGATCTGTGACACATCCTGTTATCTGCAGATGGCTCCTTACTCACATTTAGTCAATCAAAAGCAGTCTCCCAAAAGTGTGATTTTGAAGTGCCAATTCATCCATCCTATTATCCACCATTATCTGTGGATCAGCACACGGATATCAAAGTTTATTTCACAGACGTCGACAATATTACAGTATCCCCCAATAGCGCCACATATTAGATAGGTTTCACTCGTACTGTTGGACAGGTTTCCCAAACCCAGCATCTAGTGCTGATCAGCATCCTACATGTTTCGTCATTTGAGTTCTCTCACACATCTCAACGTTGTTGTTTTTTTTCCTTACGGTTTTCTCATTCAATGCGATTTTACATGGCTGCCAAGTTTAACACATTTTCCGAAAAACTTGTCTTTTGACACTTACAAGTTTCGGCGAAGGTTGTGGCTGTGGACAAACGAGACTCGGGACATGGAGAGGAGGACAGGGGGATGTCGCGCTTTCCTGCTCTCACAGAGACTATCTCAAAGGAACCGGCAAGAAAGCCAGTGAGTGATCTGAATCGGCATACTTATCACATCATTAAATTGTCTTTTATGTAACTGACTAGGATATGCTGGTACTGTAAACCAGATGACTTGTAACATATATGTTGGGCCCTTCACCTGGTAGCCAGCATGCTACGATCACATTTGTTTTCTATGAGGTCAATTTGTTTTAAAACGAAAGTGTGCAAGCCTTTCGGCAGGTATCTATGCAACGCGTTGCTAATCCACATCTGTACCAACACCACATTATGCTCATTCACACTTGCTGATTTAAACTGACTTAACTGCACTTGATGACTCGCTGGCACAAGTGAGGGCCAAACCACAGACTGCTGTACCTGCACTTCTGGCTTGGAGGCCCTGTCTTCTTGTTAATGACTAATAACTCTACCTGAATTACCGACTAACCCCTATCCAATGGCCAACAACAATTTCTTTGACATTGCTCGTAAGACACTGGCGTAAAGCAGCATAAGAGTATGAGCAAAATGTGCTCTTCTTCTGGGGGTTAGGCCACGTGTTGAGCCTTACTTCTCTCAAGCTTTCGCCACCACAAATTGCTCCGGGTATTTCCTTCAATTCAACTCCTGGAAATGGATCACACTTGTTTGAGGGAACAAATGTTTGACACGTGGTCTAACCTCGAAGACCAGCACTATCATCACCGGCGACCGCGACTGTATACGTTCTAAAATTAACGGTGTGAGATCACCCTTATGGACGTGGTGGCGGCGCATGCACATTTTCTCGTGAGCAAAACCACCTCCGCGCCTTTGTGTGTTTCTGTGCACTGGCAGCCGCCGTCCGATGGCGTGAAGCTGCCGCTCATTACGATGGAGCCTCCTGCCACTCCCCAGAAGCAACAGGCCGGGGATAACACAGAGGGGGAGGCAGAGCAGAGGAAGGGACCTCCCCAACCACTGCTGCCGTCCATCTCCCAGGGCAGGCCTCCCACGTGGGGCTTAATCAAACAGGGGGCCACCCGGGGAGGCGTCACACCGTTCGAGGCGGCCCGGGCAAAACCAGCAACAGGCGGCGCCCGACATGGCCAAGTTGCCAGAGACGCTGGAACGAATAGAATGGCACGAGCCGACCAAGGTGCTGCCACTTTCGTCAAGCCGCAGCGGGATCGTTCCCCGGATCGTGGAGCGACCAAAGCTCAAGTTTCGGTGCCGCCTGGAGATGAGCCTGTCTGTGCAGCTAAAGAGAGAGATGGAGTGCCAGGCGTTCACTGGGGTGATGCGGTCGTTGCCAGCAGCTCAGGACAACCGGTCAGGCGAGCGACGGATATGGAGGGACCTTCAGTTGTTGGTCAGATGGCTGCAGGTGAAAGCTCTCAATGTAAGCACTAAATGAAGCACCCTTGCATTCGATTTAACTATAGGGACAGTAAACTGTCAATGTGTGGGGAATGCCACAGTGTTTCAAATGGTTTTCCACGTGGTAAATGTTAATAAAATTTAATATGGAATCTGTTCTAGATTCTTGGATTAACATGAAAAATCTGAAAATCGTGGCTCGATATGAAATTTCGGATGATTTAAATAACAATTGTTTTGAATTCATCTAAAGATATGTATGTGGGGATACCGGTGTATACATATATTTGTTGCGATTATTCATTTCCCTCATCCTTCAGATGAGTGGCAGCTTCTTGGGAAAAAGGGGCCCGGCAGCCATGACAGTGCGACAAGCAACAAGGGAGGCAAGGGTGCAAAAGACATGGGCATCAAGGGCGACAAGGCCGGCAGAGACATCTTCATCAACCCAGAGGACATAGGTAGGGTTTCTATACATCCTGGTTTTCCTAGGAATGTCCCCTTTTTGAGGTCACTGTCCTTGGAAATTTATAAGTCTTCCCGGCATGTTTAAAGTCCCAGATTTTGTCAGTTGTGCAGTAATTTACTACTCAAGTATTCTCCCCTCTTTTTTGCTATTGCGAGATTTTATCCTCATCATATTGCTTTTTCTTCCTTTTCCTCAGAGGTAGCAGAAACTGTCGACGTTGACCTCGAGTTTCCCCCAGTAGCCACCGGGGTTGACGTGGGAGCCGGCGAGGTTAGCGGTGCCAAGGCCGAACGGGGTGGTGCTAAGCCTGGCGGTGCCACCGCCGCTCTTGGGGCAGCCGGCGCGAGGGCCGGGGGTGGCAGCATGAAGCCCGGCGACGCGGCCGAGGGCAGCGGCGTGAAGGCCGGAGCCTGCAGCATCACGTTTGAGGGCGGCACCGAGGGGGTGGGCAGCAACTCGAGCAACAAGCTCAACGGCGGAGTCACTAAAGGCGTCCCCAAGGCCGCGGGCAGCAGCGTGAAGGCGGCAGGTGGCGAGGGGACGACCGTAGTGAAAGGGAATTTACCCGAAGAGCTGAGAGGTCGGTGATTCTGGGGTGTTTTTGTGTGGTATTTATACTAACAAGGCGAAAATACGCGAACGCTTAATTTGTTTGCGTGACAAGCGCTTATGCCATCTTCTACGGATTATAACACCCTCCGGAAAGTAAGACACATGGCCAACTTGTGCCCGGTATTAGAACAGTCATGCAAATCTGCTCTCACACACGGAAACACATATGCCTGCCAGATTATAGCATGCACCCCCATCTTTTCCTTTAAAATATAGTTGGAAAAAATGTGTTCTATAATCCGGAGACAATGGTATTAACTGAAAACCTACACCGTTACTTAAAGTACAGTATGTATGTTGAACTTCTTGCACGCCGTATGTAGCCAACCGTGCTAATCGGAGGTGCGGGGAAGGACAAAAAACAATGATTGTAGCCACACATGGCGATCCATTTATCACCCTCTTCTCAACATTATCACCCTCTTCTCAACAGGTGATTGATTATGGTGAATGCGATCGCTCCATATCTGACAAGTTAGAGTGTGAAGAGATTTAATATATGTGTGTTGAGCTATGTGAGAGACGTGTGTAGAGGCTTTAAGAATAAAATGTCGTTTTCTGCCTAATTTTATCCCTTATGTTAGTTGGTTACCTATAAACGAATCGCCTTTTTTTTTCACTAGCGTTATGCTTATTAGAATCTTTGTTTATCCTGGAGAAATCTGATGAGCTCTGACGTTAGTTTTTGAAAGATGTCCAATAGCTTCACAAATGTCCGGTGTGCATCGTCATTACAACTGTACCCTTACAGATCAATCGTACGCTAAAGCATACTTTGTGCATCCTTTTTGCATCCTTTTACCCCGCGTGCATGTTATAGCCACACACACGGGAAAAGACTTCATGGGCAGTGCTGTCCTGGGTCCTGACGGGGAAATCATCAAACTGTCTTTGGTGAGAGCCGCCTATTATATCGAAACTAAAGGGCAAGACGGCGCTGGAGATGTGCTCGTGTTTAACGTGAGCGTGGAGCAGAGCGCTGCGGCAGACGAGCGGCAGTGGAACGCGCTCATGGGGACCTCGCAGCGGATCGGAGACGAAGGTACGCAGGCTGCACATTCAGCACCACGCGCAGCTCCTGATCGCCGCTATTAAATGTCCACCCCGATAAGCGACTTCGTCGAGCTAAATTTCGATTTAAAGCTTTCGTGACTGCAAGGATTCATCTTCTTTGGTTCTTTCGGTAAAGTCACGTAGAATGAGAATAAAATAATAAATTAATGAAATAACATAACACAAAAAAACGTTCGTTGAGCTACTTATGTGTGGCCAGGTCGCTTCTGAAAAGGAGCTTTATAAACTCGGTGGGCCTTACCTGGTAAAAAAAAAAATGCTCGTTTTACAAGACAGCTGCAATCCTCTCGGGGGGGGGGGGGGGGGGGGGGGAAACGAGTTAATGTTTGCAGTGGGAAAAAAGTGAGGTGAGATCTCCCCGTCTTGTCTTTTGTTTAGGCTCGCCTTGTTAAAACAAATGCTGCCATTTGTCCTGCGCAGTAAAATGTCTTTTAACACTGCAGTGACACGAGTGGGGAAATGTAAAGCAAATATTTGCATGTTTGTACGGAATCATTGCATCGCGGTTAGCGCACTGTGCTATGAACTCGGTGGTGACCTTGCTTCAATTCCTGACCTTGTTTAACAACAGTGGTGAGTGATATGTGAACCTGTTCTGGACCTCTGCTAGGTTGACTCATTGTGTAAACATCAGCGCTTGCCCAAAAACTAAGATGGTCTCTTGCACAATGACAGTCTTAATAGGTGTTCTGCTAAAAGCACTTGCTCCAACGGTCTATATGGCTAAACAAGAATATTTGTGTGTGTGTGTGTGTTTAAAAAGATGTGAGGTCAGTCGAGTCCGGGGTGATGGAAGACGAGGATTACCAAGACCTTCCGGTTTCCAACAAACAAAGATCACGTAATCCTATGCACAAACTCACTGCCACAGATTTAGCGATATTCCCACACATGCCTTTTACTAACCACTATTGCATACTTTCAGGTGACATTGACACTGAAAAAGACACAGAAACTGAGAAAGGGACCACTGCTTTTTCTGCTGTTTCCCAGGTACAAAAACACGCGTGCGCATAACCATCATCGTCAATAGCGGTGATTTATTCTCTGCTTAATGAATGCTTCCTTACCAAGTCTCTATACCTCGTGATATTGAACTCCCAATTAGATGAATTTTCAACATTCGGAACCGCAACTTGGTCAATGATTTTACTTTACCGTTTGCATTGTTTCCATTTTCTCTCTCTCTCAGTTTCACAATCTCGTTCGCTCCATGTATCGCTACGTGCCATTTTCATAAGTTGTAAATAATCGATACTTGCACGATTCGATACATGTATCATGAGCATGATAATCAATCTTCTTTGGTTCTTTCGGTAAAGCCACGTAGAATGAGAATACAATAATAAAATAAAACAATAAAATTCTCACGACGATTTTATTATTTTATTCTCATTCTACGTGACTTTACCGAACGAACCAAAGAAGATGAATCCTTGCAGTCACGAAAGCTTTAAATCGAAATGATAATCAATGTTTAGTCAAATGAAGCGTCGCATGCCTCTAGTATCCACAGCAAAGCGAGGGCGAAGATGCAGTCTGATGTAATTTCTTTTGTTTTTGCACGTTAACAGGGAGCTGCAGACAGTGGATTGTTTGTAACAAGTCCTGTGACAATGTCTGCACTGACGGAACCTGGCACGGTCATGGGTGAGCTGTTATTTTTGTTTTCTCTTCATGGTTTTTGTATCGGCAGTGATGGGACAAAGGCTCCGTTAGAATTACTTGCAAAGCAGTTCATCTCTTCCGTTGTTAGAGAATGGCCTGCAGAAGCAACTATCACAGAGCTACCAATGAGATTCCTTTCAATTGACCTCTGCCCCACACAGCAGGGGGGAATAATTTCCCTGCATACCCTGACAGTAAAAGTGTAGTGTTTATAATGACGAATAAACTTCTTATGAGGCACACTCTGTTTATTGTAATACTTCTTTTACATAGTCCTTAACACACAGAGGGGTAATACGGTCCCCTCACCCGATACCCTAAGAAGGTACAGCCTCCGGACTTAGCGTTACCTACACACAGGTCTCTTGCTAACCTAAGGAGGTACAGCCTCCTATCTTGGCAGGACTTACACATCTACCGCTATCCTAGAGTCCTCCGGCTGGGACCTAGGGGAGGATATCTGACCCACCGCTGGCCTGGCGGGTCTTGACCACTGGGTATGCCGAGCCTTAGCCCTCAGAAGGGCTGGAAGGCTGGGTCCAGGATCCTAGCTATCTTCAGCCCGGGCTTCAGTCTTCGTGTAGGGAGAGAAAACCCCGCGCTCTGCACGGTCACCCTTCTTATACCCGTTTGTGGCCAGGTCTAACCAATCCCACATTCCCACGTGGAACTGTCTGATTGGTTCTTACCAAACTGTGGCTACGATCCACTTCACCTCGTCTGACCCCAACCGTTATGTACCCAGAGGTAACGCTGCACTGCCCCTTTGATACATAGTGGCAACGCAGGTTACCGAACAGTGAGTAGTTAACACCTCTACAAAAGCAATATTTCAATTCGTAGAACTGGAATTTAGTCAAATCAGTTTGCAGTACTAAATGTCGTGGAGGTTGTTTTTTTTAATGCAGTGGCCGGCTTGAGACCATCAAGCAGTCTTGCGACGACCATTGCTCTCATAGGGAAATTACTACCCTCTACCACGTGTGTAAAAGAGGATATGGAAGCAATCGCTCTGTGATATCCATTTCTGTGGACCATTCTCTCATTGGTGACCGGCCTGAGACCATAAATTCGCTACACTTGAGAACACTGGGTTAATCACGAGTGGTTGAAACCTAGATGTGGCATGAGATCTAAACAACAAGTCACAAGCCCATATACAATGCGTTGTAGATGGGGCCAACTCTGTGTGCGCAGACACAGCAGTACAATTACACGTTTTGTTGATGTGCAGCTGGGCATTAAAAAAGACAATCACGGCGCCTGCGCTCGGTAAATGTAGCTAATCTGGGCAGAATTAAGCCTAAGCCCTTGATGAATTTAAAATGTAATTCCACAGGTTGAACCATGTGTGAGATAGAGTGCAAAATGTGTTCACTCCTTTAAAGGAATGGGCAAGATTCACTCTGCGTCTGAACAGACAATTGAGTGCATAACAATCTAAAATTACATCTTTAATCTGCTGTTATTAACCCTTATGAAAGAAGAAGTGCAGAATATGAAGGTTTACGTTTTATGCTTATAGAATGGTAAGCTAGCGTAATAAAATTGTTGGATAATTCATGAATTTGGACGATTAAAATGACACTCGGTACAGTTGGTTACAGTTGTTTGCTGTAGAAGTAAACTTTGACTGTAGTTCAGGAAGGACAACAACTTCGCCACATTAGTGATTTACGTTGCCATTAAAATCAAACGATGTATAATATGTGATGCTTCGGGCAAAAGGGCAGTCATCATAGCAGTGTAAATGTTCGCTTCCCACAGCTTGTCAACAAAGTCATTACCACTTGCTTATAAAAAAAACAAGTGCTCACATTAGGCGTGTAATAATGCAGTCCCTTACGAACTATGATTCTATGAATTGCCATGATTCAGGGCGGCAGATCGGTAAAAAAAAAATCTATGCTTTTTTTACGTCCCATTTTTTCCATCTCGTTTCTTTTGTCATTTTGTTTTCTCCGTTTGCCTAACTGAAAGATTAGCACATAATCTACATGTAACGTACGTAGATCATATACACGTGTACAGATCCTTTTTGTGTATAGACTGCTGGATGAAGGCCTTCCCACACTCTGCGTGTCATGGGGGTTTACTCGACCATACTTCCCCGTGCTGGCTGGTGTGGGTTTGGTGAAGGCGAGGAGGAAAAAAAAACGCAGGAGTCTGGAAGCACAGCACAGCGATGGAATTGTTCAGCATTGCCCTGTGCTACCCGCCACGTAGCTCCCGCAGCCCTATGACAACCTTTGTTTGGCGTCAGAGAAATAAAGCCCTGTCGTGATTTAATGCAATGTTACATGTTGCAGCTTTGCCTCCAGCGTCAGAATCGAGGGTCGAGGCGGAGTTCGAAGCGTGGAGTCGCGAGCTCAACTCATCGCTGAGCCCCAACGAGACCGTTATTGTGGAGGACGGCCGCACCGGACAGAGGATCGTCAGGTCGCGGCAGACGCCAACGCAGATGGGACCTCCAAGCAGGAGCAAAACGTCCGTCTCCATCATCCTACCCTCCCAGGGTGCGTCATCCTTTGAGCGGCAGCTATCCCGAGCTGTTCGCCCTTCGGATTCATGCAGGGTGTATGTGTGTGTGTTGAACTTCATTCGCACTGTACCTAGCCAACCGCGCTAATAGGACGTGCGGGGGGAAGGAGAATGTGAGGATAATGAAATGCAACGGAGGTTTTGTTTGTGTGTATATTGTAGTAAACTACTAGACAAAGGTCTGTTTGTTATTACCACCATCATCATGGGCCATTGCCCATCTATTTCTGGATATAGGCTTTAACACACAGTCGGCATCTCTAAAGGTCCTGGGATGCCACAATGCATCTTGTAAAATAATATTGTATTCTGATTTGAATTGGTACATCTTTCTTTTCCCTCTGCCTGTAGGTATGGATGATCCAGAATCATTTCGTTCCGATGAAGACAGCTCGAGCGTGCTCTCAAACGCATTTAAAGACTCAAAGGAACAGCATTCAAATAAAAACGTATCTGAGACCAGCCAGAACCGTGAGAGGCAAGAGCAGTTATTTAATTTGTCAATCTAAATGTATATTTAGCACATATTGAAAATGTGAATTCTCAAACCATGTGGCTTAAAGCGAACACACTCGCACAATATGCTGCCAAGCTGCACCGGTGTCTTCTTGTTCTGAAATAAATGTGGATACGTAAGCATAAGACCAGGCCATGTTACGCAGACATAACTCAACTTGAAATGTAATCATTTCATCCTTACAGTCGTGGTGGGATGAACTACAGGGGGTAATTATGTGCACACAAGTAATACTCACTTACCCAATGTCTGATACATACTTCCCGAGACTGCACACAAAAATAGGTTGCGTTATGCATTGAAGCAACCGTTCTGACATTCGAGGCGGTACGATCATCACTAAGCGACGTTTTATTTGTTCAGTGAAATGTGTGGAATGGGCTTAAAAACACGATTAATCTCGTTGCAGATCGGCACAAGAAACTGGAAAGAACAAGGCCGTTGTGTCAAAGAAAGGTAAACGCCCCGAGGCAAGGGGCGACAAAGACACGCGGTCGGCAAAGCGCTCTGTCGAGACGCGGGAGCGCGCGTCCGTGCGGGAGGGTTCAACGGGGGGGATGAGCCACACCGTGGAGAGGCGGACATCCAGCAACGACCCGGACGACGCGTGGGAAGACAGCGTGGGTGATAACGCAGAGGCGCCCTCGAGGGCCGTGAGTAACACAACCGAGGCACGTGGGATGTGGCAAAAAGGGATCGTCAAAAGCACTGAGCTAACATTGCTGAGATCCTCGGGGTTTGAACATGGCATAGCGTTCCATGATTTTAAACAAGCACGGTCATGGGTTCTCGAGATCCACGAGCAATGTAATGCTGAACTAATTTCATAAACCATAGGTATCACCCGAGGCGTCTTAAGAGGTGGCAGGTTGTTAAAGAGGTCAGGGCACTGAGCTGGCACCAACGGGATACTAGGGCACAATCTGGTGCAGCCACTCATGATTAAATTGGGCTCTCAAGTGTGAGCTGATGGTCTCAGTTGGGACCATCAGCTCAAAAAAAAACCCATCACGGTACATTGTTTTTTTTCATTTCATTTAGATAAATACCAGCATGTGATATTCGATTTAAAGCTTTCGTGACTGCAAGGATTCATCTTCTTTGGTTATTTCGGTAAAGTCACGTAGAATAAGAATAAAATAAGAAATTGATAAAATAAAATAACACAATAAAATTCTCATGAGACGTCTCGTCCCTTCACCTGATGAAGGCCGCTTGTGTTGTGGCCGAAACGTCGTGAGAATTTTATTGTGTTATTTTATTTTATCAATTTATTATTTTATTCTCATTCTACGTGACTTTACCGAAAGAACCAAAGCACATGTGATATTCATTAAGAGTATTCAATGTGACAAACATGTCGTAGCAAGTGCGCCTCCTAGTGTGTGGTTCAAATAGTTCTCGTGGTGGGGCGTTATCGTACAGCGGCTCGCGCGCTGCGCTACGAACCCGGCGACCCGGTGTTCGGTTCCCGCTCACGGTCAACATCAGCGACGATTATCTGAACCGGTCCTGGGCCCTCCCTTTTTAGGTCGACTCAGCCTCAAATGAGCGCCTGCTGCGGTGTTTAAACATCGCCACGGGGGAGACAAAGGCGGCCGGGAGTGGTGCTGGCCACCCAATCTTTCGTGTGCCGCGCCGGCTTTCATAGGTGCAATTGCCCCTACAGTCTGTAAAGGCTAAACGGGGGATATTTGTCTTTAAAATAGTTCACCGGATCGGATCTCAGTGGCAGCCCTGTAAAAAAAGAAATCTGCTTCTGTGAGCTGTTCTCGAACACGCAGGGCTGCAGAGCTCTAGCAATGTTTCCAAATGGATTCTTAATCCCATGACATGACGCCGATCGCGCAAATGGATTAAAATTGGGTTTATAGACACGTGCTGCTATTTACAGCCAGGCCTATCCTGGTGTAAGCAATAATATATGGGCTATCTAATTAATTATTTATGATTCGATTCCTCGATTAGTTGAACAGAAATTAGATGGGGAGAAAAACCTCGCTCTTTTCCCACGCGTGCCGCTGGACGGGAGGTGGGGATTTATGATGTCTTCGGCATCATCAACCGCGTCACACTGAGCATGGGTTGTAGGGGGTGACCGCCATTTTAAACGGGGGCCCCAGTCATCGGCTGCACCAAAAGTGGTCGATTATCATATAATCGTTGGTTGAACAACTCTGTGGGTTAATTGTCCCAGCTCTGTTATACATGGCGGCTTGAGGGCTCTGCTGCCAACGTGTAACACCAGGGATCCGGTGCCAATTTGATTGGATTGTGCAATTGCCAAAACTCCCGTGTTTTCTTTGGACGCAGGCACCATCTTGGTCTGCTGTGCGCACGCACAGAAGCACGATATTTAAATCGGGATAAAACTGCGGCAGACCCACATCGAACGGGGAATTTTATTATCTAGGATAGATAGAGGCATAATAGTCAAGAGGGCACACACAGGGTCGGTGGGGGGTGGGGTCCATTAGACCATTACGGTATTGGCACTGGCATTAAACCGCTTCGTGCAAAGGGCTTGACAGTCATGGTATTTAAGTAGGTGACGTCTACGTACCAAGCTGAGTTTTCATTTTTCCTGAGGTGGCCGAGTGGCTCAGGACCAGCACACCGTAGATATCCTTGTTCTTGATTTTGGGTTTCGGCCACGTGTGATTATCGTAATCCGATTACCAATAACTGCACAAACGCAATCGCACGAAATTTGGGCATTTTTGGCTACGCTTAAGCCTCGACCCTTAAAAAAACACAAGTTTGACAAGTGATGACCAATTTTTTCAGAGCATTAAAAAGGTGTGCCCTAGCGTAGATAAAGAGGGCCACTGAAGTGGCATCAGAGGTAGGTCTGTGATGTCATCTTCTGGGTGATGCACTGCTCGCTGTCGAGTTGCAAATAATACAAATAGGGGAAAAATAAAATAAAAGCTCCGTATTTAATTTTCTATAATGGAAGCATTGCAAGCAAGTTGTTATTTTTTTTTGTTATTAGCACGTGTGTTTTATTCTAACCGTCTGCTTTGTTTTGAATGCACAAGGAAACGAGAATCGCAAAAGAAACGAAAACTAAAAAGTCCGAGGGCAGTACAAAAGCCAAAGCGAACGAAAATGAACGGAATGCTTTTGTTGTAGGTAAGACATTATAAATGACTTCCAGCGCCTAGTTTCGAGTCGCACAAGCAACGTTACACATCTCCTGTCCTGTTTTTGTACTACATAACTCTTAGCTTCAGCTGCATCCAGTTATGTAATGTTGGATCAAACCGTTGATATCGAGTCTTAAGATTATAATAATAATAAAATAATGATTTCAACTTGTAACAGGCCACACAGCATTCGCTCACGATCGAATAGAGGCGATAATTTCAGAGGCACGTGGAACCACAGGCAAATGGCAAAAGGCAGCCAGGTGGTGATCGACCACTACATTCCCCCCCTCCCTGCAAGACTGTAGTCCTCTATATATATTGAGATGTTATCGGCCAATTAATGAGTGTTTACATTATGCATATGTACAGCCATTTTGTCAATCTGCTGCTGAGTGAGAGTTTCCCCACACCACGCAGATGGTGGGGGTTCTACAAGGCATAATTTGCAGCACTGTTCAGTGTGGGATGAAGGAGAAGCATAGACATTGGAGCACAGTATAGAACAACGGATTTGCTGCACCGCCCTACACTAACAACGCAGCCCTGCAGCGGCACCCTACAAGATCTGTTTAATGCATGGTGGACGCCCAACGCAAGCACCATCCAGGCTCAACATCCTACTGAGCCTCCGAGGTCTGATGAGATCCTACTGGATCATCGAAAGGATACAAAAATAACGGTTGTTTCTTTACGATCGCTATTCAGTGCATGTATTGGGAGTGTAAGAATCGATGTTCAAGAAATGAATCGACACTTGGCAAACCGTAGACATACCCATCTCAAAGGATCACTGCGCGGGTGAAATATTATCGACACGTTTAAAAAAAATGCGCCTTAACGTTTCCCCCCTTTTTAGGCAAACCCAGGAAAACGCGGATGAGCGAAGCGACGCAAAAAGGAGCCGATGGGGAAAAAGCGCCGCCTTCGTCAAAAAAAGAATCCGGTGACGAGCAAAGGAGGAAGAAGCCATCGCGGCGTTCCGCGGGGCCGCCGGAAAAGGGTGGCAGCAGGGGAACGGACGATCAGGACTCGGGGAGAGACGACAACTCGGCTTTCCAAGACGATGCGACTGGGCGACATCGCCGAGGAAGAAGGGGGAGCCAAGTGCGGGCCCACAAACTGGGCAGCCAAACGTCGGAGGGCCAACTTGTTGAACCTGGCAAGGAGGTGAGGAAGCCTGCTGAACAGTGCTGTGCTGTACAGCGAAACACCGCACATTTAGCCGTCACATATCCACCGGGCCAATGAACTGACGCCCGGTGCCGTATTGTGCATTGTGTAACTGTATATAATTAATTATATATGCTCACATATCAGACCTTTGTTTTACACGCTTTTTATTAACTCACTCCGTATGTTGTTGTTGTTGTATCCTCAAATCTTGTAACTCAATTTTAACTCACTTCCCAATGTGGTATCGACTGCAAACTTGGTATACTTATGTCATGCTGATGACAATACTATATTCTATCATTAAAAATTTTAATATATATTTTTAAACATTATATTTTATATGTTTTGTTTCGTCTTGGGTCTAATTGTCCACACTCAGCTGACGTTGGTTGCAAATCACCACGGTCCTTTACGTTATGGCAAGCTTCGCGGCCACTTTCTGGATTCGTGGAGTTCTTCTATTACTAGTACTGTGCATTTCATTAAAGCGTGTTTTTAAAAAAGTTATTTAAAATATTAATTATTATCAAATATCTGCCTATATCTCAGTCCCCAGAGGCGAATATGCGTTGTAGTACTGTGCCAAATCAATCCGAGTACGTAAGTAAATTAGTTCAATGACATTTACTCTCTTGAAGATGGTTTATTTGGAGGTGGGTGGCCTGATGGACCAAGGAAAGGGTCAGCATGCTGAATCGGCACTGCTCACATCCTGGGTTCGTATCCTGGCTGCCACCTGTGATTAAATTTGTTTCTGAAGTATAGGGAGTTCATGGACTCAGCAATGACTGCACAATACAACCGTCACGTGATATTGGTTTTGTTTTTACTTTTATTTCGCCATGTTCAAACTGTTACTGATGTTTTTTTCCCGTATCGTTTCTCTCCATTCTAGTGGCGCCCTCTGCACTCCTTCAGTCCATATTTTCTCTCAGGCACACTCTGCCTCTGTTGCCTTTCACTCCTGTTGCCATTGCTTTGCATGATTCCCATTTGATGCCATTCTCAGACTCCCAAGATTTTATTTGAGCTGGTCAGACCAATTTAGCAAAGCAGCCCTTTTATACACGGCTAGTACCGTAGCAGTTTGCATTCTTCTTTTTTTATATCGTTGTTATTCTTGATCCATATTTTTTCAATATCGGGTGAATCCACTTACTCCTGTCATGCTACAATTCTTTTCATTTGAATTTTGGGCGTAACACTACTACGTGGCCAAACTAAAAAAAAAATTGCGACCATAGTATTGGCCACAAATTAAAAAAAACACATTTTTAAAAATATCGTTTGATATGGCTCCTCCAACAGGGTCGTCTGTTAGAGGAGCCACGCACAGCTGAACACTTGAGTACCGTCACTGACAGTGCACAATATCGTTTGATATCGTTCTGAATGGAACTTGGTAAAGCCCTGTCCTGTACGATACACCTTGCTGGTCTCGCCAAGGAATGTAAACCACCAAGCGAACTCCTCGAAGCAACCGTTTTTGGCTCGCCACTGAACAACGACGGTCAGAGCAACGGTCAGCGCATCTGAAAGCACGTGATGCGGCTCTCTGGAACGCTCTTCTTTTCGATATTAGGAATCCACTGAAACCTATGCACTTTTAAATCATCGAGATTGAAAACTCCTTTCTTTGAAACTGATTTTTGTGTTCAGTTTGTTGTGCTTCCCCTGCACCTCTGATTAGCATGGTTGGCGACGTGTGAAAGAAGTTCAACGTACGGTAGAGTACATACACAGAGGCTAAGCCTATACGCTGTCCAAGTCGAGCAGCTGAGACTCGAACCGCGTGTGTGTGCGCGAGTGGCAGCCGGGGTCGGACGGGCAATCGCCGGCTCTGTCGGAGCGCGAGGCTCGGCGGGCGGCGCAGTCGGAGCAGCGGCGGCTGGAGGTCGAACGGCGGAGGCAGGAGAGCGAGTCGCAGCGGCTCCAGGAGCTGGAGCAGCAGGACAGGGAGGAGGTCATGAGGGCCGAGCTGGAGGAGGCACGGCTCCGGCGCGAAGAGGAGGCGAGGTGAGGGGGACGGGACTGACCGCACCCCACAGGGCCCGGCTCTCCTTGCTGGCACCAAGCTATTACTGTGACAGCACGGACAATATGTGCAGCATTGCTTTGCGGCTACAAAATTAGTTTTAAAAGGAGGAAATTGTATGACGGTAAAACAAGAGTCATTTGTCCTCCAACGTACACAGCCCGCCTGTATTCCTGTACACTCGTCCAGTGCGTGCTCTTACATAATCAGCCAATACCTCTTTGTTTAGTTTGTTGTCTTTCCCCCACTACTTATGGTGTGAAAGAAGTTCAACATACATACATACAATACGTACTCCGACATACGTATCCAGTGCATTCTCAGACATTAACCAGGACATACTCCTACACATTCAGCTCGCGACATAGTCTCACACCTCTTTTTTTTCCATTGCACAACCCGAGCCATGCCAAGCTATCTCCGAACAGCTTAGGTGCCATGATGGTTTTTTTTTTTTCCCACGAGTTAGTTAGTTAGTTAATCCTCTTCATCCCCTATGGGACAGGAGGCCACAGTGAGTTCCCTCCACTCCTTCCTGTCCTTGGCAACATGTTGAGCCTCACCCCAAGAGAGGTTGATCGCTGCTACCAGCTCGTCCTACACTGTCTTGCGCCACGTGGCCTCGGGTCTCCCAGGTTTCCTTTTGCCCGGTGGTGTCGATCTTAGGGGCAATATTTTGGTATACGGTCCTGGTCCATTTTGAGTACATGTCCGAGCCATCTGAGTCACCGTCCCTTGATGTTTTTTTTTTTCCACTACAGAACCAGAACTGTGATGTCGGCCTGCCGCTGCCATCGCACGCAATAAGCGATTTTAAACGCACGTAGGTGACGCGGTTGCGCTGATCGAGCTGTCGCGACGTCGCTCACAACGGACGTGTCGTTAGCCCTGTGTCTGGCCCTGCTTTCGCCTCAAACCAGATTCAATTGTTTTGAGGCCATCATAGCGTGGACTTGGTACTGGCACATTGCCAGTGGAAAGCCACCCGTACCACGATGGCTCGGTGCCCACTCGGCTTGGATGTGCCAGTGACGAATAGGGTATGAACATAGTTAACCAGCGCATGCTCAAACTTATCGTCAAAACTTTTGGCCACGTGTCCAGTTTTGACGAGCTATCTGAGCTGTTTGCCAAGTGCCCTGTCCCCCCCTCCTTGTCCGACTCAGGCAGAAGAAGCGGCAGCAGGAGCTGGAGCGACTCAAGGTGCAGGAGCTGGAGATGAAGCGGATGGAGCGCGAGCGGGCTGAGCGTGAGCGCGAGCGCCGGCAGCAGGAGGAGCACCGTCGCAGGGTACTCGAGATCCAGCGCAGGAAGCAGGAGGAGGAGGCCCTGAAGAAAGGTCAAATCCCCGCACCCTCTCTTTCTCTCTCTCCTGTATCGAGCACATGAACGAAAATTAAACTATTTTTATTTTACCAGGTAAGGCCCACTGAGCTACATAGCTCTTTTTCCGAAGCGACCTGGCCACAAATTAGCTGAACGAAGCGGCTTATCGCGCGTAAATTTATAACAGCCAAATCCTCTAAACGCATTTTGATTCTAAATAGAGGGAAAAGCCAGAGGACCCGGAGAAAAATCCACACGACCATGGGGAGCGAGACATGCAAACTCCAAATATACAGACGTCAGGGTTGGGATCGAACTCACGACCTCCTGTATACCAGGCGAGGTAGTTAACATCTCACCACCAACATGGCGGGTGAAGCATTGTCAACGGACACCTCTGCTGATCGACCTTGCAATGCACATTGCTGTTTGGTGGATCGTTTGCGGCAACGTAGAGACTGGGAATTCTTATCTCTTCTAATCCGTTTTACTCTTATAATGATGCCCAGTGAATGAACTTACAGATACAGCAGTGGGGGGCTGGAGCAGTGGTGCAAATATTAGCACACTCCATGTCTCACATCAGTGATCACATCTCACATCAATGGTAAGCCATATCTAAACCCATCCTGGGCCCCAGCCCCCTTTCACCATTCGAAATTTACCAGAGTGGAAGAGCACGGTCAAACCAACATTATCGAATACCGCACGAATGAACCGGCATGTCGGCGCTCTCATCTCCGAATTGCAGCCGAGCAAGAGCGGCTGGAAAGAGAAGAGGCGGAGCGGCGAGCCGAGGAGGAGCGGATGCTGGCGCAGATGGACGAGTCGGAGCGGCTGGAGTACGAGCAACGGCGGCGGGAGGAGGAAGAGCAGAGGAGACTTGCGGAAGAGCAGCGACGCAGGGTGATGGAGGAAGAGGCTCGTCTCGCCATGGAGGAGGCTATGCGACAAGCCCGCTTTCTGGCCAAGTGAGATCCGTACATCTCTGCCGGGGAACTGCTTAACAGGAGCCGATCTTTCCTTTTGAACAAAAACTCAACACATTTGCCAATAACTCTGCCCGAGAGAGGAAAAAATACGTGATAGAGAACGTTCCTGGCAATGGCCCTTCTTCGTAGCGGAAATGTCACTGGTTATATAGTTTTCCTTTTAAGGCAGTGTTGTTGACGAACGTGTTGAGTCTGTGTTTATTGTGCTTGTGCACCCACTGCCAATTCAGCACTGCCAATGCAGCATCAGCAAATAATGTATTCAACACTATAAAAGTGATTTTAGAGAGTCATTATTTCCTACACTTTATGCTGATCAAATTTTATTTTTTAAAAAGACATAACACAGCGTGCACATTTTAATTTCTGAGCACTGGTCATATTTGATGAACTCGTCCAATATTATAATAACCTTGTTTAACGGTTGAACCCGGTGGCTTTCGACTGAAAGTCCAATTAGGCAGCCTCTAGACAGCAGCAGCTCCAAAAGGCTTCATAAATCAATGAAACGCCACGGATCAAAGATTACATCTAATGAGCATAAATGTGGCCAATTGCACAACCAGTGAACAAACCAATGAGGAGCCACGACCGTGTTTAAATCACGCGGCCAGCTTTTCTTTTATGGCTCCCTGACCCGACGTCGTGAAAATCTCTTTACAGGCAGCAGGCGGAGCTGGAACGCCACCTCATGTTTCACCGTGAGCTGTGGCTGGAGACGAGCGGGATGGAGCAAACGCAGGACGTGTCTCGGCCGTGGGTCTACTCGTACTACGAGCTCCTGCAGATGCTGGGACTGCAACGGCCAGAGCTGGAAGCAGGGCAGCACGTTGACTGAGCCGCTAAAGGTCCCACCGACAGGGAAATGTCATATCCTGGGCCCCACGGGCCGAATGCCCGTCCATGGTTTTATTTCATACGACCCACCGGTCACATGAGGCCTACCATTTCGAAACGGCCTGCAAACCATATGTATCCATTACTCCAAGCATCTTATCGCACTAATCCGGCACCAGAAGGGAATATTTTTGACCTCGTAACGCCACCATGTTTCGAATTTTAGCATCACACTCGGGAACTTCTGAGTGTACAGGGTGGTCCAGATGTCGTGACCCGCACCGTGAGGCACCACGGTGACTAGGAGCTGTTGACTACCTCGCCTGGTATACAAGAGTTCGTGGGTTCAATCCCGACCCTGATGCCTGTATATTTGGAGTTTAGATGTTCTCCCCGTGGTTGCATGGCTTTTTATTCAGGTCCTCCGGTTTTTCCCTCAACATTTAGGTACATGCATTTCGAGTATTTGGCTGCTATACACGCAATAAGCCACTTCGTTGAGCTATCATTTGGGGGCAGGTCGCTTCTGAAAAAGTTATATAGCTCAGTGTGCCTTACCTGGTAAAATAAAATAATCAGTTTAAACAGAGCTGCTTGCGGCCCTCCAAGTGAGTTTTGATGTCCCATTCCACACTTGGAAAGGAAAATGTTCCCCCACCCCTTCCCTTGAAACGTGGTCGCCAATGGTTGTTCACTTTCACCAACTGCAGCTTCAGTGCTTCAACAAATTTCATTGAATTGTCAAATTGAGTTAACGTTCCATGTGTACTCGATAGGGTAAGTCGATTTTAATATAAAGCATCACAGCACTTAAATCTACATATGCGTTCATTGCTAATAGCCCATAAAGCTAACATAGTTGAAGCCATTTTTATAAATATAGGATTTTCATATTTTGGGTTGCTTCACAAAGGTTGTAACTGCCAAAAATGTTACTTAGAACCTTTTTGGAATACCTCAAGAAGGGTAAAGCTGTTTTGTAGCTTGTTTGCACTAATATATTCTGATTCAAAGCAAATGCTGAAACATATTCTTAGTATTTCCAATCTAGGGTGTTTTACTGCATATGCTATTCGTGGATGTTGTTGTTGGTAGATTACCAAGCGAGCTCATGTGGTGGAGCATGAAATAAAAGGGAGTGCCAGAGATATACATCCATCTGATAAGGCTTGAACCAAGACTGGCAAATCCAGGTACAAAGAAAGAGTGTACACGGTGCAGTTGTCAGTAAAGGTTGGAGTCCATAACGGTTCTTTAGCGAGTCCACTTAAACTTCTCATGGTGCTGGACATGCAAGAAACATTCTGAAAGAAGCACTCTGTTGTTGTGTGTCGTTGGCATATTATATAAATGCGATGTGGGAAGACCAAATACGTGGAAAATTACTTGGAGAATTAGCGAGTATGTCGAAGTAGATCCAAGATGGAATGTGGTTAGTGACACTGGGAGTGCAGAAGGGAAGACGGAACAGAGAGTACAGCTAAGACAGTGGCTACTCCACGTGAACGAGTTCCCATATCTAGGGCTGACCTCACAAGACAGCGACGTTCAACACAAAGCGAGTCAAAAAACTGTGAAGTAGAGAGAAGTGAGTGGAGACGACGCCACTGAAGATAAAAGACATGTAGGATGTTGTCAGACCTGTCCTGTGCTCACGTATGGAATAGAAATCTGGGTTAGAAAGAAAATAGAACTGCAAAGCAACAGATATGAAAGATGATGAGATGGGTGCTGGGACCGATTAGGAAACACATTGGCAATAAAGTTGGAGGGAGGTTAGTGGCGCTGTTCATAAAGGCAAAATTGATAGGAAACAAGCAAAGGTGGTTTGGTCACGAAGAAAAGAATGCGATGAGTACGTTGCAACAGGAAGTAGAAATTGCTGGAAGTTGAGAGCAGGAGAGGCCCAAGCAGAGATGGATGATAACAGCGAGGACATGGAGGAGTTTAAGAGTCAGTGGGGCAATCGCTGGAGATGCATAAGAATGTAAAGTGGACGAAGGCAGACCTCAAGCACTTGTGATCGATGCCAGGAATGAGTTGGTGTTTTACCTATCAGTAAACAATCATTTTGGCACAAACTCTATGTTTTAATATAATTACTGGAATTTAGAAATATGCATCCTATTATGAGATTATAACCTTACACAACTGTATTATTTTTAGTTTCTTTGTTGATCCAATTACAAAATACACAGTCTACACAAAATACACAAATACACAGAATTTTGTTTGGTAATTAAAAAAAATCTAGAGAAAAATGCAATAAATTATTCTTTGCAAACTGTGCCAAGGGCATGTTTCACCCATCAAATATATATATACAATTGCATAACGATGTCCAATTACAGCTGGGAGATTCCTGCTGGCCTCTGTGGGCTGTTCTGACACATTGGGCACACCGCTCAGTGAGATTTACAAATCGATTATTTATCTGACATTACGATGGCTTAATTTAAATAAATTTGGCGGGAAAAATTGCAAGCCTCCAGTCATAATGCTCCCCAGTGAAATGTTTTACATTCTCAGCTAAATTCAAATACATATACACATGAACATTGAACGAACATTTTATTGAAGTTGAAAAAATTCACAGCTACTAGTTTCCTTTGCAAATTACTGCTTGAGCACAAAATCTCTATTCTGAGGGTTATTTGCAACGCAGCTTGCTCAAATAACACGAAAGCTAAGTCGCAAATATTTAACGACAAATGTTTTTTAAAGTCTGGCATCTCATCTGCAAATTAACCGATGTGTCAATATTAAAAGAATTCCAGTACTCCACGACTCTGATGTTCATTTCTCAGTCGGATGCATCCGGCCGCAGCCTTCTGAACTTTGCCTGAAAATTGCACTTGTTGCTGTTCAAAATGTTGATGCCATGCTTCTCAAAATCATAGCCAACGCTCTGGAGGACCTGCAAGCGGTGGCTCAGCGTCTTCAAACTGAACTCCAGGCAACGCGGCCTCTCCAGCACCTGGTGGATGGTGATACCCGAGGCCAGCAAGCAATGCAACTTCTCCAGCAGGTTCTCCAGGGAGAAGTAGAGGAAGTAGGAGTACTTCTTGAAGAACACCTTCACCTCCTGGTCGTTGCAGCCTTGCTGAAGGCACTCGCTCCAGAAGGCCTCGAGCTTCCGCTTGAGGCTCTCGCTGGACATGTCGAGCGCGTCGGTGCTGTTCGCCGTCAGGAAGCCGAGCAGCTCCTTGTCCGTGAGCTGAAGCCGCGTCACAAGGAACTCCATGTTGGTCTTGACCCGTTTGGTGCTGCGGATGAGGATGTACACGTTCCGCGAAATGACCTGCGCGAGGGTAAAACGAATTTGTGATCCACAGCGTTTAAAACGAATGCGCACAGTACCATGACGGCCCATCAAAAACCTAACTTAGTCCATTTAAAAGTTCTCTCAGCTACTATTCAACGTAAAAACAAATATAAAAGGTAAAAACACAGCTGTTAGTAGTTACTGGAGTTACTGTATAGTACTCTGGCATTTATGTGCAGCAAGGAGATGCAGCGAACAAGTCGGTCATTGCTTTTGCACGCCGTCCCATTTTTATCTTTAAGGCATTTGATTTCAAAACTAATTTTAATTCAATCTTTAGGGGTTCCCCCGTTAAAAACAAAACATCCCTATGCAGAACCCTCCTAAGAGAGAGCCTGGCGACTCAGGCCATCCTGGGTCACTAAACAAAATTTTCATAAACACAACAAAAAGACTCAAACCTGTTGCGCAAAAATGTCGGGGTCCCCGCCTCCCAGCGAGACGCAGGTACATTTCAAAAAGTCCACCATTTGCTTGTTGAGCTCCGGGGTGTTGGATAACGCCCTGGGAGCGGTGGAGAAGATGCGCAAAATGTCCTTCTTGGCGAGCCCCAGCGACGTGAAGTACTCGATGTTTTCCGCCAACGTGGCGTTGTCCGAGGAGCGGAAGAATGCCTCCGGGGAGCGCATGACGATTTTGAGGACGTCCCCATCGGAGTTGAAGAATTTTCTCCACAGCGTCCACCGCTCCTCGAGGTGTTCGGCAGAGCGACTGAGGGAGCGCGGGTACCTACATACGATGCTGGCCACCACCTGCTGAGAGGCCCCTTTGCCCTTGAGGAAGTCGATCAAGTCGACGCTGCCTTTCAGCTTCTTCAGAACGCCGAGTGCCTGCCTGTGGAGTGCGAGATCCACTCCAAGGTCGTCCAGCTTCTGCATCATCTCGGCGGAGGGCTCCGACACACTTGCACGGACCGCGGGATGACTGGTTGTTTGACAGCGGCGAACCTGCCCCTTCCCGCACACTTCAAGGTGGCAGATTGCTTTCGAGAGGGTACGGGGTACCACCCAGCGATTTTGTAAATGGGTCGTTTGTACTTTTAGGTAGAAGAAGCATGCTTGTGCCACGATCCTCCTCAAGTGAAAGGGCTGCCAGCCGAGCATGTCTGACGCATGAGAATCCTGTTGGAAGACAGAACCCACAGGGCATTAGAAAACATGGACACATCCGTTACCAGGTGAGTTTGCCCATTTGACGCCTGGGTAATCATTAGTGGCTTTCACATTTGTTAATGGCCCAGACAGCACAAAGAGGATTCAATTCATTTTAACCTGATTATTTAATTTAACACGTAGGATTTCGCGACTGATATTATCCATAAGAGGTTTTTCGTTTAGATCGCGTAAATATATAAATGTGTCGTTAAACACGCCACCACCCGACACAGCCAATTAGTGAGGTTTGTCATGTAAATAAAACATGCCGAATCGTTACTAGTTCAGCACATCGGTGTGTTGGAGAGTAAACCCACAACATTGTGGTGTGTCAGACTAATAACGAATTGGCCCGCTTTTTGTTTACGTGACAAATCCCACTTAATTGGCTGCGTGGGCTGGTGGCGGAATTTCACGACGCAATTATATTCACACGATATAACCCAAACGAAACCTCTACTGTGGACAGCGCAACGCTCTGCAACAACGCAAGCCGTGGTTGCATAACAACACAGCACCAGTATAGGAATAGGTTTTATACCCTTTTAACTGGCACGAAAACTGACACCTTTATTCAAGGCATCATGTTTGCAATAACCACAACACAAGCAGTCAAAATGCAAATAATAATATGCACTGTCCTTGAATTTGATTGGTCCACACCCGAGACAGATTTTCTTAGAGCCTAGTCTCCACTGGTGTTGGACCAGAAGACGCCAAAAGGCGTACAACTCAAAAACAGCGCACTATCAGAGTATTGAGGGCTCGGGGTGAGCATTAACATTATGATACCTCCTTTGCCAGTAACAAGATATAGGAATAAGGTTTTACCCTTTTAACTGGCATAAAAAAACTGACACCTTCATTCATAATGTACACAGTGCGACAATCATTGACGGTCATCACAAAAGCCTTCGTGATGATTAAACCGATAACCGCATCGCACAAACGAATCGCGGCTGCGACTGGACTCTTTACTCACCAACGCGAGTGGCCACACGGCGCTACCGAATCGATCAGACTCGGCACCCGCAAACTCTGCAAATTGTGAATGATCCCAAAAAGCGGCGCCTTAATAACGACGCCGATCAGAGGAGAGCGCCCGGCGATCTCTGCAACAACAACCACCACCACCACCCACACCACAAAGCAACGGTACATTCATGGAGCAAAACGAATTCGGCGGGCACTTTAGGAACGAACACCTCCCTCCCCTCCCTTCCCCTCAACAACGTTAAGGCGTAAAATAAATGAACGCGCCACAGTTTGGGGACGCACATGGGACACGCGCACGTGTCTACGAACTAGATCCGGGGCACGCGCGTTGCCGGTTCACGGCCACCCGCCCGCCCGCCCGCCCCCTACAAAGGCAAAGGTCCCCCGCGTAGCCTGTAACAGACGCCAGTAAGTTGCTGTGGAGTAGCGTGCAGCCAGCGTCTCTGAAAGGCCCCGGGCCACTTGTTGGCACACGGGGGATCGGGGTTGGTTGGGTGGCCGAAACAAACTGCGCCCGGTCGACTTTAGCCTCTGCCCCCGGTGGCGGTGTTTACTGCACAGCGCGTTGAGCCTGCCGCTAACCGCTGCGCCACCGCTCCCCACAACATCGCCCCGCCCCATCGGCCCCTCCCACCCGCCCCCAACATCGCCCCACCCCCAACATCGCCCCATCCCCAACATCGCCCCATCCCCAACATCGCCCCACCCCCAACATCGCCCCACCCCATCGGCCCCTCCCACCCGCCCCCAACATCGCCCCGCCCCATCGGCCCCTCCCACCCGCCCCCAACATCGCCCCACCCATCCGCCCCCAACATCGCCCCGCCCTCCCTCACATCGCCCCACCCCCCTACATGCCACCCCCGCGTCTCGGACAACCGCACCGCGGTTAAATAAATAAATACACCGTTTAAAAATAAATTTATGCAAACCAACACACCTGAAGACGACCGTTTGTGTTATGGTCGAAACGTCGTGAGAATTTTTATTGTTATATATATATTTTATTATTTTGTTGTTTCCCTTCAACGTGACTTTACCGAAAGAACTAAGATTATAACCGCACCGCGATTCGTAATTCCCGTGACGTCACGAGCCTTCTCCGCGCATGCGCAGTGGGGTCGCGGGCTTCGTGTGTAACACGTGGGGAGTTTTTTTGCGTGTGCGGGACCGCAGTAGCAGCGGCGGCGCTCTCAAAAGCCGTCGAAAGTTTGTAACGTCGCCGCTTTTGTCAAAAACACAGCGACAATGCTCGTCCTGTTCGAGACCGCGGCGGGCTATGCCATCTTTAAGGTAAAAAAAAGCGTCCGTTGTACCCGAATGTGTTATTTGCGCGAAAGAGGAAAAAAATATTTAAGGCCTTTTTTTTTTGGCCTGGCACGTGGTAATGCAAATTATCCGAGGGGCCTTCTGCGGCCTTCGCTCCACGTTGCCGCGCGGGTTTCCTTCGCGAGGCTCCCCGTTGGTGGCAGCGGCCTTCGCCCGGCCGATCGCAGCCTGCTGCGGCTCGCCCCCTTCGCCGATGACCCCAGCACGTTGGCGGCGGAATGAACACGGCCTAAGCCGCAACGTGGGCCCCCCCTCCCACCGCAATGCCGTTACGCGTTGGAATTTACCCGTCTCTTCTTGCCCTGGGTCTCTTTCCCGCCCCCCACTCCTCCACTGCCCCCAACTACCTACCATAGCATGTGCTTTGGTGATATTGCGTAGTTTATGTGCGGTGTTTGTTTGATTTTTTTTTACAATCTCAATGTTTTTACTGACGATGCTAGTTGCAATTATTGGCGCAACGTCGTATTCGGATTGTAAATGTTGTGGATTTGCGCTCCCAGCATACCGGTGTGCTGTAGTAGTAACGAATTGGCCACGTTCTGTTTACGTGACAACCCTTACTAGTTGGCTGTGTCGGGTGGTGGCGGGTTTAACGACACATTTACGCGATCTAACCCCATTAAAAAAACTTGATGGATAATGTCGGTCGCGAAAGCCTACAAATAACTTATCCTGCTTATGAGAGCTAGAATGAAGTTTCGAGTGCGTAAAGAAATCTCCATCGGCTGTGTTTGGAATCCACTGCTGGATGATGAATGACTCTAGACGCCAGCTATCTCACGATTCTGCGATGTTATCCCAAACGAGATCACCTGCTGGCACACGCGTTGATTCCATCGCTCCGTCTCCCTGAGACGTCGGCGTTCCCATTCATTGCCTTTTAAAATGCAGGATCGACATTCGGTCTGGAGACTGCGAGGGGTTTTGCTCGGAAGGATGGATGGATGTAGGTCCTGGTGAAAAAGTCCCCCGGATGAGTTTAGATCCCCGGCGTGTTTTTAACGAACGAGCGCCACAACGATCGCTTTCATCCTTCTTGCCACGTGCTCTCTCAGGTGCTGGACGAAAAGAAGATCCAGGAGGCGGACAACATCTGGAAGAACTTCGAGACGGCGGAGAAGGCGAATAAGATGTAAGGACCGTGGAGAAAAAAAGTTAATAATAGCTGTAAAGTGTTTAGTATCGATTTTTATACATGGAGTAGACATACAGCTGTGAATCCGCCTTGAAAGTACAGTAGAAAGTACAGTACAGGGTGGTGGTCTAGATGTCTTGTGACCCCGTCTCCCAATTAAATGACCCCAAAACATGTTATTCCCTTTGCATATTAATCTAAATGAACGTTACTTTTTTTAAAAAATATTACGTTTTTAATAAGTGGGGGGGGGGGGGGTCACAAGATATGGACCACCCTGTACAGCGCTTGGAGCACCAATTGTTTGATCCGACCTGCCTCTTCGATTCTAAGGTGATGAAGGCCGCTTGTGTTGTGGCCGAAACGTCGTAATTTTTGTTTTATTTTTTTACCTACGTGACTTTACCGAATAGAACCAAAGAGTATGGATCCTTGCAGTCACGAAAGCTTCAAATCTAGAGTTAGAATAGTAATTGGCCTCCCCCTGTGTTCTGAATAAGACTAATCGACCGAAACGTCGCCAACTATATACTTTTTCAGGACAGTGTAAGTGACGAATGTGAGTTTTTTTCGACCCGTTATTTGTTTACATAAGATACTTTTACAATTTAATAAAAGTATGTCATATGTAATAGACCAAGTATACGAATCCACCAAGGATCGTTACATCTCATTTAATCGCGTGTCTAAGTTAATTCAGTCTCTTTTTAAAACACTTAAATCTATAGAATACTCAAGAGATGGTTCTGTAGAATGTCGTTTGTATCGACCATGTAAATTACCTTTTGTGTGCATTCCTGTGTCGATTTTTTTATACAGGGCTCCTTTGCAATCCTTTTGTGTTCATTCCTGTGTTGATTTTTTTATCGAGGTCTCCTTTGCAATCATGAATTGCAATTGAACCAGGCTCTCTTGCCTGGCTATACATAGTAAAACAGAATTCGTCAATGGAATAGTGATGTTACTCTTAAGATGCTGGCGTATATAAAACTAGTCACTGGGTCTGGCAACTCCACCCTGTTGAAATGCCACTGTTGTCTAGTCCATACGCTGCATGATTTATCTTTGTACTCCCCACTTGTTAACTTTGTGCAGCGTCAAGCTGAAGCACTTTGAAAAGTTTCAAGACACAACAGACGCGCTGGCAGGTGAGTGATCCTCGTGCGAGGCCGCTGGCTTTGGACGACGGTCTTTGAATTTGTGCAATTTAGCCACTTTTTTTTGCACTGCTCGCAAACTGTTGTCGATGATGCATGAATTTATAGGCTGAATGCAAAGTGATGCACGATTTATTCGTCACTACCACTGAGACAACAGACCAATAACCTTGTGTTCATTACCCATGCACAGTCTTATGTACAATAACATAATGTCTTTTTCCCAGAAAAAAAACAATCGATTTTTAAGACTATTTTCAGGATGGTCTTGCTTGAAGAAAGATGTTTGACCACATCCGTCAATTAATACATGGTGCTTCAAAAAAATGTTAACTCCTATGTGGGACTCGTTTTTAATGGAAAAAGAACGAATACTACACTGTAACATAACAATTGTATGTTAATAGCTTCAAAAAGTCCCCACTTGTTCGCCATCATTGTCAACGCGTGCCTGGAATCTTCTCCAGGTGGTCTCCAGAGCCCGGAGGCAGCACATTTCTTGTGGTGGTGTTGCAAATTCTCGGGAAGTGTTAACATATTTTTGAAGCACTCTGTATTTTACATCTTGGAGTAAACGACAGTACCCGGAGAACCCACATGATAAGGGGGAGTGGTGGGGTAACCATCAAGGTCCTCCACATTGCCCTCCTGCCATCTGGCCACTTCCCATCCTAAGCCTTGCAACACCTGGTGTTCTCTGGCAGTCTCCCATCAAAGCACCAAGAACACTTGGACCTGCTTAGCTTCGAATAATTGATTATGTGTGGTGCTTTTAGAATGATATGAGACGATAGCAATTGTATTGAGGGCATAATACAAGTCTGCACAGGTGAGTTTAGACTTATTATTCATGAGAACAATTCACTTTAATGCCATTTCCATGGAGTTTATTGGCCCAGAAGTGGCTTAGTACGTCGAATAATTATTTGAGAGACGCATAGCAGCGTCTGAGTGTGTTCTGCCAAGTGTAAACGCCGCTGTAGTTGACCGGGCGTCTCTCTGCAGCTGCCACAGCGGCGGTGGAAGGGAAGGTGGGGAAAGCCCTGAAGAAGATGCTCAAAAAGCTGGTGGCAAAAGAAGCGCACGAGCAGTTGGCAGTCGCCGATGCCAAGCTGGGAGGAGCCATTAAGGTAAGGATTCAACAAACATGCACGTGTAAAGGTTTAATTTGAACTTTCATAGCTGGTGAAATTAAAATTGGTCACTATCCCCCTTGCCCTGTGTCATTGAATTTTTTTAAATCGTGGTTGTCGATCATAGGCCAAAAAATGGCAAGCAGCCAGCAATGCATGGTACGATGAAGGGTGTAATAGATAATTGGTAAAACACATTTCATGTCTTGAGTAAGGGTATATGAATCTTGCGATAAAGATGATGGGAGGGAAGTCCAGGTGACATCTTCCCTGCTGTCGAGCAGCACTCGAAAACGGTGCTTTTAAAACGTTACATCTGAAATATCGAATTAAACGTTGCCAATGATGCATCACATTTCCATCTGATAACAAATGCAGAATCTATTGGAAATTCGTCACTACCTCTGAGTCAACTGTGAAAGTAGCTGTTACGCCGGGTGCTTTTGATGTCCACTTCTTTTGTGGTGGGTGGGATTTCAGCTGGGAGGAGTTCCCGTGTAACCGGCACCGCTGTTCGACTTGCTTTCAGGACAAGTTGAACATGAGTTGCGTTTACAACACGGCGGTGACGGAGCTCATGAGAGGCATCCGCTCGCAGATCGACAGCCTGATCACGGGCCTCCATCCACGCGAGATGAGCGCCATGTCCCTGGGTCTTGCGCACAGGTACTGGACGCATGAGAGTCATGGCTCTGTTTGTTAATGTCTATCAACAGACCTCTTTAGTTCTTTGTAGCCACAAACAAGTACATTTTGGCCTTCCAGACTAATATAGCCCAGCAGCATTTGTTTAAGCAAGCAAACTCTGGACCAGTTTTAGCCTTCTTGGTCTCAACAGCAGAGTCGGG